TGTTTTTTCGATCAGTCCTGCAATCCTTGTGTACTCTGCAGTTTCCCATCTGAGTTCATTCTCATGTACTTGCAATCCAGTGTCACACTTCGACTAGTTATTTTATTTGGGTTTGAAAATGGGGAAGTTGTAGTTGGATTACAGCTTTTTAGTGACCCACAGACAGAGTGATTCCACATCCAGGCACATMATTTTAAGCTTTCTTCACTCTGTTTACAAATGGGACTTTACATGACTCTGGATGACTCAAAATGGRTTGTGGGTTATGGGTGATATCTGGAGAAATATGCTCCATCATATTCCAGCACTTCTTCTAGTGCAGGCTGTTTGGAAACTAATGACCCTTGGAAGTAAGGACTTCTCACTACTCTTCTGAGTGCTGTTTTTTGAACAAGAGCACTAATCACACCTGCTCTTGGTGCTGTTCTCTAGAAGAGACAGAGGCAGAATGCATTGCCTTCAATGAAGTGGCATACAGATGGGATAGTCTTGTATGCAGACCAAGCCAGTGGCATGAGCTGGCTSCAAGTTACTAATTTTCAGCAAATTGTGATGAGATTTACTGTAACAGAATGARTTAGGTTTGAAAGTGTTGATTTTCTTTCTGTATACTCATAGCTGTCACCAAAAAAGGCAAATCCTGCTATTTCTATCTAATCAAGGATGTATGTGTCAACTACACTATTCCATTTATTCCAGAGGTATTCTATTTCTATACACATCAGTTATCTAATTAGAATGTTATTTGCTCTGTTGCATTTCAGGGGAAGTTCTGGGACTCAGTGAGCCAGTGCAGGTGCCATATGCACTGTTTGAATCCTACCCGGAGGATTTCTGTGTGGAAGGATTACCTGAGGGGGTGCCGTTCCGCCCACCGTCAACTTTTGGGATTCCAAGACTAGAGAAGATCCTGAGAAATAAATCCAAAATAAAATTTATTGTTAAAAAGTAAGGATCCCCTATGTCTTTGGTAATCTGTTCTATGAGAATTGAAATGTAGACCAAAAAATGAAATTGTGTTGCCAAGTTGCTAAATTACTCTATAATAAAAACACACTGGAATATTTTTAGTACTCGAGGAAATGGTCAGAAAGCACTTTTGCAGGTGGAGCAAGATACAACAATCTCTTTTTTTCTGAAAGACTTTYAGAGCCTGTTGTGAGAGGAAGAGCAAGTTCATATTTTTAACCCATTGTAACTATCACATCACTAGTTTAGTTCCTACTGCAAGGARCACTTAATGGACTACTCATAAAGCTTGCTGGTTGTGTACTGAGGGCTGAGGAGTGGAGATTTATATAATGAAGGCTGTAAGAATTTTCATTCTCTTGCCTAGAACTGGTTTAGATGCTCCTGTGCCAGTGCAGAAAGAGTGGCAAGAGAAGTTACAAGGACATGTAGTGATAGAACAAGGGAGAATGGCTTTAAACTGGCAGATGGCAGGGTTAAATTAGATGTTTGGAAGAAATTTTCACTGTGAAAATGGTGAGGCCCTGACCCAGATTGCTCAGACATGCCTGGAAAATGTTCAAGGCCTGGTTGGATGGGGTTTGGAGCAACCTGATCTAGTGGAAGCTGTCCCCAACCATAGCAGGAGCATGGAATTGGGTGGGCTTTAGGTTCCTTCCAACCCAAACCAGTCTGGGATTCTGTGATTCTATGAAGCCTCTTGGTCATTGCAGTCTTGACTGTCTGTTTGGCTGAGAGGATATAACTTACTCTGTTTAGAAAGTGGGGTTTTCTTTAATGTTGATGTTTTAATTTTATTATGGTATGTGAAATGTTCAATCTTTTTGCAGACCTGAGATGCTTGAGGCAGCTGTCAAAGAAAATGCTAAAAGCCCCCAAAGTGAGTTTTGCAACTGTTTGCCTTTCTAGATAACAGTTTATTTCAAGGGTTAAATATTAATTATGAGAGCAACATAATGTTAATAAATTCCTGRAAAATTAATTCTGAATTGCAGTTGCTTGGTTTATTTGCTTGATTGTTTGTTTTTAAGATGGGAAAAGCACTTACAGTTACAGTTTAAATATAGTTCTAACAAGGGAGTCTTAATTTTTTTAAGTTATTCGCAAATAATTGTGYCTCTAATATATTCTTTACTATCTTTTATACAGCAAAGAGCACAAAAAACACAGTAAWTAACAGAGCTGAAAAAGTTGAAGACTTAAACATCATTCAAGTAACTGTCCCAGGTGTGTATACTGACTGGTTTCATGTCATACTACTTGTGGTTATATATAAATACTATATGATATATATATAAATATAAATATATATATAAATATAAATATAAATGCTATATGATATATATATATAAATATATAAATACTTCATTATATTTTACTTTGATGAAGTATTTTTCTACAGTCAGGATAGTTTGCTGAAGTACAAGTACAGTCAACAAAGAACATAAGCTACCATTTTARTTTTCCTATTCAACACTCAGTAATATCTCATCAGTGACATCTCCAGAATATTCTTAGTCCAACCACCTGTTAAAGAGTATCCACATTTTTCTGATGCTGTAAATTAAATATTGATTTGCAGTTCTTGGCAACTTCCAAATTTCAGTACTTGGACTGAACTGAATGACCATGAAGACTGAACTGCTTTGTCTTAGCACTGATTACTGCTTTCTCAGGCATATATTATATCCATTGGAATTCACTGGGATCCMTGAGGAATGTTGCGTGCTGTGGCCATCTTATGAAAGATCACTTTGCTTTTACCTTTACATGCAATTCTGTGTTCCATAAGAAAGTAAAATGCAGTTTGTTGGTTTGATTACTTTACAAAATCATCTCTAGACAGTRAACCTAGATTCATCCCTGGAAGTGTTCAGGGCCAGGTTGAATGGAGCTTGGAGCAACCTGGTCTAGTGGAAGGTGTCCCTGYCCATGGCAGGGGTTTGGAACTACATTATCTTTAAGGTCTCTTCCAAACCATTCTGTGTTTCTGTRATTTCTTAGCAGCCATYTATTTTTGTGTATTTCTACAATTCTGTGTTACTACTAAAACGAGGAACAAAGACAGTGTCTGTTTAGAAACTCTTGGGTATACCTACTTTGAGTAAACATGCAGGGATAAATAAGCTTCAGGGGGAAAATTTGTGCTTAATTCTCATGCTATTCTAACAATTTCTTCCAGATGATGAAAGTGAGCGACTGCCAAAAGTAGAAACAGCCAGACAATTGAGAGAACAAGTAAATGAYCTTTTTAGCCAGAAATTTGGTAATTGCTTCTTACTCCCCATTTTTACATAGATGTGGGTGCACTTAATGTTGTTCATACTGAAGTTTCTGAATGAATATTCATTCTCAGTGATATATATCTTCATTAAAATCAACACATTTGAGAATTGTATATAAATGTTGTAGTTTAACTTCAAAAAGAATCTTTTGTAAGTGATACAGGCAGTTTGGTGTTTTAAACAATGAAGTCCTGAGAATCTAGRTTGCTTCATGATTCCCCCTCCCTTTTCCTGTTTTCTGTGTCAACATGGATGAAGTATTTATTTTGCTGGCAGTCCATGGTTCTTCTCAGGGTTTCATAATCCTGACCTCTTAATACTTGGGACTAGAGTAATTTTAAAAATGCAATTTAACCTTTTGGCTGTGTATAGTTTTGTTTGGTKTTTTTTGCTTTGCATTGCACAGTGGTAATGACCTGGGTTTCCTTATCTGAAATTCCTTCTCTTCTGSTGCATTGAATTGCTTTTCATAGCAYTGCAGGAAATGCTTTGTTTTCCTTCATGTAGCTATCTCCTTATACATCCTGATCTATACCCTTTTCTAAGATCAGAATCTGTGTTCTTCATATGCTGACCTGACAGAGCTGAAGTAACTGATGCTCTCATAGTAATGTTCATGAGTATAATTCAGAACCTCATTCCAAACACTGTAATCATTGCATTGTCAAGTGAATTTTCATAGTTTCAGATCTGATAGAAAGCATGGGTTTGCATTTTGTTTCTTAATCATCTGAGGATTTTTTCTGTAGTATAATCATAAATATTGTTTGGAAGGTTTGGAAATAAACATGACTTCTCTCACTTAGGTGAGGCCACTGGTATGGATTTTCCTGTRAAAGTTCCATACAGAAAAATCACTAACAACCCTGGCTGTGTGTTGGTGGATGGAATGCCTCCAGGTGTGGCATTTAAAGCGCCCAGTTATCTGGAAGTCAGCTCGATGAAGAAAATTTTGGAATCGGCAAAGTTTATCAAGTTTACTATMATTAGGTATGTAGTTGCCATTAATTAGAATGTGAGTGCAGCCCTATAGCTGGAATAAATGTGAGAGAATAGAAGTTGTAGTACATCTTTAAATAGATGTTGGCTCTTTTTGGATAACAATATATCAGGTCAAATGAAGCCCAGATGTTCCTAGCATGAATGAAGGAGGACATGTCCAATTCAGTATGACAAAAGGCATATTATTAATAYTGCATATTACAGCAATCTGTCTTTTGAGTTGAAACCTAATCGTAATGTGTAACAAAGTCCTRTAGTTTTCTGGGCCTTGCTCTCCCAGTCATAATGTCAAGTTTTGAGGCAAGTCCAGAGCTCACTGGTTTCTATTCAATATTTAAAAATACAATATTGTCCAATTACACCATAAGGGAATTTCATTTGTATGTGTATATTTCCATAGACATATACACACCCACATATATACAATGTTAATTTTTATGTATGAAGCAGAATAGATTAAAATTTGGAATCATTCTAAGGAGGAGTTGAAAATAAAAATTTTTCAGTTTCCATAACTTCTCAAATGACAGATGCTTTCACAGGAGTGTAAAAGCTTCAGTTTATCTTGAGGGAGAGAAATTTCTTAAATAGGTTTTACTAAGGGGTCTGAATTTTCAGCCCTTAATCATGACTTACTCTAACTGATGTGTGCTTTTGAATTGAATCCTGAAGAAGAGGTGACCCCTTGCTAAGTAGTGGTGACTGAGGAAAGTGTTTAGCACTTCCCATGTATGTTACTTTTCAAAATGTTAGTTTTGAACAACCAAAGTGCTCAAGGGCTGCTATTCCTTCTGTTTTATTTGACTTACTTTTCATTTTTTAGCATGACCGTTGTTAYAGAAGGTATGGGGAGGTGGCATTGGGAGGAAACACCATGCAGTGCATATTAGAATCAGTAATTTTTTTTTTTCCAGACCATTTCCCGGACTTGTGATTAACGATCGTAAGTACTTGTGAGACACTGATGACAAACGTATTTTTGTAACCTATTAAGATTCATTTTCTACATTGTGTCTYAGTGGCAGAGGCTCTAGGTCATTAAGGTCTCTGTATAACTTGTTTGTGTATTTSTCATTAAGATTTCCTGACTAAACATCTATGTACAGCTAACTTGAGGGCAGGGGGATAAATTTACATTTAAACAGCATAAAATTAGCATTGACTTGATATGAAAATGCAAGTGCTGATTTTGTATTTTTCAGCTGCAGAATCCCAAAGAAATTTAGGATCCTGACTGAGCAACAGGCTTTCATGAGAATGCCTACATTGTAGGTTTAGATCCATCACRGTAGCAATTAGTAAGCTAGAGCTTTCCAGTAGCTGCATAACCCCATTCCAGTGAAAAATTCTGCATTCTGCTGTAACTATGACTATTTGGAGAGGCAGAGTGTAGTTAGCTGAAGTGGCATGGCCATTTTGGCCCTGACAATGAAATTGTTTGGGGTAGTGGAAGGGAAAGGTATAGTATTTTTGCTTGCTAAAATTATTGTGACCTGGTTGTTAGATGTAACTTAGGAGAAAAAATAAACCACAAAGCATTGTCACTACAGTGTCCCTTGTGTCAAGTTTTTTGTGAGCCAATGTCAGATTAGAAATTCAGAGGCCAAAWAACCTGTTATCAGTTTGGCCTTCCCCACCTTGAGCCTTAGCAACCCAGTGTTTGTTCAAATACAGTCAGCCACCAGTGTATTCCATTTAACAAGCTAAGTTCTGTAGCCCTGCAAGTGTTCTCAAGAAGGTATTGTGGTCAGTAACTCCCACTGAGCTGCTCACCAGTCCTAGTTGCACTTCTTAGGTCAGAGAGRGGTCTCTTTGCAAGGGGGAGCCTTCCAAGCAAATAAATGTGTAACAGTACTTCCAGAGAATTCAGTTAGAAATTAAAGAATCCATTGAAACTGTTGTCAGTTCATCGTAAGTTTTCAGTGTGTTKGGACTAGGGGAACAGATTAGTCATGGGCCACGTGAGGTTTGGGCATTATCTATGTCCRCTAATTACGATAAAAATGATTTGATACTGATGGATACCAAGGTGAATGATTGAAAGGCTCTGAACCTGCTGCTTGTAAGTCTGATGCTTTATTCTTCATCTGAAGAACATGAGGAAACGTAAGAGGAAATTTTTGGTGCTTGCAGGGAAGACAGGGAATGTTTTTCCTGTAACAGAAAAAAAGTGAACTGCATCTCAATCACAGGTGTTAGCACAAACTGTTCATGGGACAAGTTTCAGGATTTGCAGATTCAAATGTTGTCCTTGTGTTGCATGTGAACCATTTTCACTGTGAAGTAAAACAATAATCATATTTTATCTCAGAGCTGGTGGAAAAAGCTGAAGCTGAAGCAGAAGCAGAAGCAACAGCACCAGCAGCAGCCCCAGTACTAGCAGGTGATGCAGAGCGTGACACGTGCCTTGCAGGAGGGGTGGGGTATGGAGTTCTGCATCTTACTGGCAGATGTCRTTAGTAGTCATGTCCTAAGTATTAGCTGCTCATGAGAAGCCATTTCATTTTGAGAAATTGTGTGCAGCACTTTTATAGCTGTTAAATACTAATAATTTAATGGAAAGTGCCTCTGGTTTCTTTGAGCTGTGTCATTAGCGTGTTCCTTGATTTGATTTTTGTAGATGATGAGTGAGCTGGATAGAAAGATTGGTAGGGGTAATGTATAAAACCAATTCAGTATCTGTTTATTGATGTCTGCTAAACACAAATGTGTGCATCTCTGTGTGTCCAGCCAAGTGAAGTTTGCCTGCATAGCTGGCAGTGGGGTCTGGATGGAATTTCTGCCTGCTGCCAAGCGTTGTAACCCCTGCTAGACAACATCTGGGACTGCACACACATCACCTATCTTAGTCTGAAGGGAGAACTTAGCTTTTTGCTATGAATTAACTAAAGTAAACGTGGTTGAGCAACTTTGCTTTGACCCAATACAGCTTCTAAATGTTCATATACCTTTTAAAAATGTGTATCCTAAATTGGTGTAATGTAGGGGAAACTTCCACAATTGACTGAATAAATCATTACACAAAGAAACTGGGAAACTAAGAGAAAACRTCTGATAAACACTTTAAGAGTAAGGGACACTTGTATGATGAAAAGTTTTGTAAAGGAAACTACTGGATCCTCCATATGTGGAGGTGTGGGAGGGAGATCAGCTGCTGATGGTCTGTGGGCTTGCTRTAGTCTGTCTATAACAGACTTGAACATCTGCAGTGTTAAAAAGGTAAAGTGGTTTAGCCAGAAGGTATTAATCTACAATCCATGCAGAGATAGTAGAAAATTCAGCATGGGAAAATAGTACAAAGTACACATATTTACTATCAGACAATGCTTAGAAGAAGTGGTGAGTTTTTCTTTAGGGTGTTCCAAATCTGGCATATTCTGTGCAAGTGCACTTATGTTGTGCTGGGTTTTATCAGTATGTCTGCCACAGTGAACCATTATTGGAAGAGAAAGTGTTACATAATTGAACATAATTGTAATAAATGTTCGGGTATTTTTTATGTTTTGCTACCAACTATAGAAAGTTATACAAATTTATCTCAGRCAAAGAGATATGAGTCTCACTGTTAAAGAAAAAATGAGGTGTTTTTTTCAGGGAAAACTTAATTTCACTAATCTGATTAATCTTGTTGAAACATATTCATATTCATTTGACTGTATCTTTTTCATTTAAGAGCCAGCTGAGCCAAGCCAAATAGAAGTATCTCTAGGAGGTAAGTGTTTGTCTTCAGTTATTATCCACAATTATTTTTAAGTAATGCTCAACAAATTTGCATATGTTTTTGAAGTCAGGTCAGTCAAAACAAAAAAAAAGTCTTTTATTGGTTCCTGGCACGTTTATCTTTTATAGTAATATCATGCTGCATCACGTTAAAAATACTTTGCAGCAAAAGTTACTGTTTAAGTAATTTTATAAAGGAGTTTTATGAATTGTTCCTGGTTGATGAGTCATGCCTGTACATAGGCTCTGAGTGATGGTTGACATCCTGAATGATACATCGAGTTATTCAGTGCAGGAGTTTCCACAATTGATGCAAGTGAGTGGTTGCCATCGTCAGGACCTCTGAATGCCACATTGGCTTGGATATACTAATTTGGGGCAAAGGGAGTGGAGTACTGTTGTTCTTCTAGTATTTAAGCTCTGAAAAACATCCAACTTTCCTATTGTCCAAGAATATACTTGAGTTGTATCCTTTTCAGAGAAAAACATAGAATCRTTTAGTTTGGAAAAGWGCTCCAAGAACTTCAAGTCAAACTGTTGCCCTAGTACTGCCAAACTTACTACTAAACCATATCTCCAAGTGCTGTATCTACATGGCTCTTAAATCCCTCCAAGAAGGGTGACTCGACCACTTCCTCTGCCAGCCTCTGCCAGGGCTTGACAACCYTTTTGGTGAAGAACTGTTTTCTAGTATGTAGATATTTGTCAAGGAAGCTGTAGGTTTTCTAGCCCATCTGGTTTTTTGCATGTGGTCCTGTTGCATTAGTACTGAATTGACCTGAGAGTTGTCTGCTGTTGGTCTGCTGTGTGCTCTGCTCCTGCAAATGCTGCCTCTGCTATACTTCAGCCTGTCTGCATGGCCCTGGATGGCTGTAGCTGTCTCTGCTGTGCTTGGCACAGGGGATCCAAGGTGCTGTGGTAGCTTGCTGGGGTGCTGCCTTTGTGTCGGGTGGTTCTGAGAGGGGGTTCACTGATGWGCCTGTGGCAGCTTGATGGCAACATAGCCAACAGCCCTGGGGATGGAGGCTGCTGTGCATCACAACTTTTCATCTTGAGACTCTCAACTTCGGTTCATTGCCTAATCCTGCTTACATTATCCCAAAAGAGAAAGCAGCAAATCTCAATGCTCTTGTTCACCTGCACCCTTTTCCATGGAAATTCCCTTTCCAGTCTCCATTGCTTCAGTTTCCCTGCCATGTCACTGAACTCTAAGCCAAGCCAACATTCTCAACCAGAATGAGTGTTACAAACTGAGTTACAGGTTCACTCCAAGGATTTTAAGTCAGTCTTTCTTGAAGCATGAAGCATTCAAGACAGAAAGAAGGCAAACGGTAGAGCAGAACTGAGCTGCAGAATTTAAACTCACAGTTACGAAGGCTGGAACATCAGATGTCCTTATTGTGCCAAAACTCTGGGACTGCTGAAGCTAGATGATGAAGGAGAAAGACAGTTGTTCCTGAATACCATCATATGGAGGAAATGGTTGTGGGCCTTCAATGTGCTGGTTTGGAAGAGACAGAAAAGTGTAATGTTGAATTTGTCATCCAAAACGGCTTCAGACACTGTAACTAGAGAAATGTTTTCGTGAAAAGGCATACAGTGGTTAAAGAGCCCCAAATCGCTTCAGAACTAGGCTGGAAGATATAAAATTATTATATAAGGAAACAGCTTGGCTTTGTAGTGATTACACCCCAGACCTTCCAAATAACTTCAGGGGAAAACCAATTTCCTTCCAACATCATATTCTCTGTTTGTAAAAGGGACAGAATGAGGCTCTGGGTCATGTGGACAGTGCTATACAGACATGAGATTCCTTTGATTTACCTCCAGGCGTCCCTGCAGTGAAAAAAACTATCAAAAGGTGATGAATGCTTTAGCCGACATTTTATTTTATTTCTTTTTTTAACATACCATAATGCTCTCCTGTGTAATACTGTGCTTTGAATAAGACAATGAGCTATGGTTAAAATTTGTTTTGGACAGATTGAAATAGAGTAGTGCAGAAGTCTGTATTGAGTTGAGAGAGAAGCAGTCCTCCTAATGCCAATGTTATTTCCATTCATTAAGAGCACTAGAGTGCTCAAAGTTCCTAAGCTGTTTACATTGTAGTGAAAATAGTGATTTCCACAGAATCAGATTGCTGTGAATGTATTTTTATTTATTATTAATAGTTAAAAAAGATAATGCTTTTTATGTTTTTATAAATCTTTACTTAAGTACAACAGTAACAAAATTGGTGGGGAAGTCCTACTTTTTTCATTCATTACTGCTTTTTYAACAGATAATACAGAAACAGAAGAAAAGTGTCAAATAAAGCATGATCCAGACTTGACGTCATAGACCTCATCAGTACTGGGTAAAAGAATTTAGTGTTTCTTGAAGTTAACACCTGTCAAGGAGTAATATTTTTATACTTTTGGCTGGGGAAGAGAGAGATGAGGTATGATACTGAATGACAGAAGGTGCCAGTGCTTTAGTTGTGAATTATTTTATGTCTTAGTTTTCACATATAAAATGTCAGATTTTTTGCACTTCCTTACTCAAATACAATATAAAGCACACTGAGGCAGTCAGTCCTAGAAAAATGTGGCCTAAGAATAAAAATGTGTGATGGTAACCACACCTCAGAAGCAGAGCAGCTGAAAGCTGAGAGAATTATGTTTGTGAGGAGCTCTGACATGGTTGTGTGAAAATGGTAATGCCCATATATTTCCAAATTGTAATTGAGCTGGAAAGCTCTTCACTATGTTTGCAGTATTTTCTGAGCTTCAGACACTCATTAAAGCTATTAATGRAGATGTGATGACAAACTAACCTCCTTGAAGTTTACTTTCTTTTCTGGTAATTTCTATKAAAAGCTTAGCTTAATTTACAGTGCACAAATGCCCAAATCTTTCTTTTACACTATTTTTAACTTCACTTGTTCCTAAAACTTATGTTTTTGTTGTGGTGGAGAACAACGATAGCAATGCTATCACATCACTAAATSGAAAATGCTGACCCACATGGCTTGGAGTCTTAGAAAGAAAAATGGTAGTAAAGAAGAAAGAAAATGGTAGTACTTCTTCCCATTTCAGTTTTTTGTAATRCTGAAACCCAAATATTTTCCTCATTATGCAGTGTTTGATACTTTAGAAATTTGATTTGATTGGTATTAAGTTAGATGAAGCATTGACTAGGGGACCCTGGAGCCTGTGGGTTCCATTCCTGGCACCATCTAAGTTTTTGGAGCTGAGGGTCAACCTCAATCCACAGCTTGAACACAGCCCAGAACACAGAAGGTGGCATCAGGACAATGAAATGATGTGGTAGAAAGCTGCAGGAACTGACAAACTAATGTCCCAACTGTCTGTGCTCTGAGCATTACAGGCACAATAAGGGGATCTTATTAAATCAGTGAAGTCTATATTGGAGTATTTGTCATAAAACTGAATGTGGCAGGATAAAATATTCTGAAGAAAAACTTTGATTTGTCATGGGAAGCATTGCAGCCAGTGAGATATAAAAAACCATCTCACTTGTCAATTAAAGGTCATGGAAATGTTGTCTGAGCAATGGCTGCACAATTTGATGCTTCAGTGATTCAGAGTTTTGGATGCTTTAGGCCATCCACTGAATCTRTACTAAAATAAATATTTGTTCTAAATTCTGACAGAGACCACTCAAGCACACATTTAATCTCTTATTTATTGAGAGCAATATTTAGCTTCTTCATGCTTGCTGAATCTAAGCCTAAAGAACTGGAAAATWCAACACACACTGCTCACAGTTGTTATAAGACACAAGGCTTCAATGAAACTAACTCACTTTTGTAATTTCTCTTACYTAGTCAGAAGCATCCGGTTCTGAGAAGAGCCTGCCGGACCTGTCTAGAGCTGTGTAATATAACTGTACAAGAGAAGTATCTTCTATACAAATCCTTCTATACTTTTAGATAGAAAMGTCTACTTTTTCAGCAGTTCTATAAATTGACTTAAAGCAAAGAATGACTGTAGATTTGGAATGGCTGCTTTTAATTTGGAATATATTTGAAGGACTAAATTTGATGCAGCAATGCTGGGGAGATGACAAGGATTAAAATCGACACGGACTTACCTGAGGCTGTCTGCAGTTTCCAAKAAAGTTAAATTTCACTGTACCTGAACACATCATAGCTTTTGTAAGGAAGAATTCCTGCGAAGAGTTCAGTTTGTTTACTTTGGAGAAGAAAACCCCCACATTAATTTTCAGCTATTATTTTAATGGCTAATTGGACAATTGTATCTGTATTTGAACTAATTTTTCCTATTACACCTATCACAATTCTTATGTTTTTCCTCAATAACAGATAAATTGATTCATTTGATGRTTAGTATGCAGTGATGAGATGGACTGTGAAACGGTCGGTATTCCAGTCTGTGGATTAGGAACTTATTGAAATTAAACCACATCAAACATAACAGTTTGTTCTGTTAATTCAAAGTAGTAAGTACATATTATGTCAGAATATCACACAGTTTATATATGATGGGTTTGGTCTTGCAGTTCTTCTATAAGCAATAGTTGTGTGGATTCATGTAAGAACTTTTCTGCTGAAGTCTGTGGGCCATGCTCTTCTGTTCACCTAGAACTGGTTATGGAAACATGCTAAAACCTGSTCTAAGTCTTACTATGTCAAAAACTCARAATGTTCTGTGRTTCTGTGAATACARCAATTAAATTATGTCCCCTGTAGTCCTGGTTATGCCCCACAACATGTAACAGACTCAGGTACACCTTTTTTTTAAAGTTTCACAAACCTAAGAGATGTACAATTTTGGCTATACGATAATCTCTAAAGAAGCAGATTATTTGTAAAAATTACTCTTTTACTGGTGTGAATTTGAGATTATTGCATTACGCACAAATTGTATTTCCTGATGTTCAAATAAAGACTTTTCTGGTGTTTTTCATGACTGTCCACGCAGTATGCAGTTACATCTTTTACAACAATTCAAATCCTGTCAGTAATTCTGTAGTCAGGTAGAACGTGCTGCAGCTTGGCTATTTCCTGCCAGCAAAGAAGTAAGGTCCAGTCATGCCTTTGAGACCAAAACCCAGGTCTGGGTGGGTGAGGTGGTTGTATCTTAAAAGAGAAATTTGAAGCCTTAAATTCAGYTGAAGTGCAGTGTCTTTTCCCTGGGAGCAACCTGAAATTCCGCAGCACATCTCTGTCATTCTGGAGATAAGGGAGACCTATAGGACATCTGCTTGTGTTTCACAATTGCTCCATGCAGATCTAGGTGCTCCCACTTCAATACTGAGCCTGTGCTGATGTCAGCAGGGGCAGGGTTAGCTCCATGCTGAGGCATTTTAAAAACACTCATCCTGGTCCTACCTTCCTTCTCTCCAGATTGGAGCTGGTGATGAGTTGTGCCATGCTGCCTTCCTGCCTCAGCAGTCAACTGTTCCCAGCCCAGTGGAATGAGCCCCACTGCTGTACCTTATCTGTTCACCCAGCCCTGTGGGCACTGTCCACATYATAACCACCAACACATTTGCCTGGTGATCACTGGAACAGACATGCTCAGTTAATGAACCTCCAGCAATAGTTCAGGATCAGGTTTCACACTTGTTCTGTACATGTTTAGAATGGGGAAATGAGCTAATGCAGCTTTCCCCAGGTTTCAGCTGACTTGACTTCCCCTTCTGAAAAAGCAGGATGGTTTATCCCTTCTTTACTCACAGTCCTCTTTAGGAGGCACTTTTTGCACAGCTGCCTGCACAGCTATCTATGGCTGATGGAGTCATTACTGCTCACTCAAAATGAARGCAATGTGTCACTGCAAAGGAAGTGGGAAAATAAATAATTCCAGGGTATTGCCTTGTCGAGTGTCTAACAGCAGAGTGGCTCTCCTGAAACTTTGTATGCAGGAGCTGAAAGAAAAATGAAGTGAAAGTGGTTGCAATGGTTTTGCTGGARGGACTGGAGTCCTTACCTGGTGCTCATTGTGTAATGCTGCTGGGTGCATTGGCACTCARCATTGAAGGCTCTTTTTGGTCTCAGACATTTTGAGTTATATACAGTAGAGAGAAATTAGTCTGACAAAAATAATTGCACCCATATTTATACTTTCCAAATATCAATTTTATATTAAGAAATTATCTACCTGTAGTCCTAACAGCACACTTTTAAGATGCTGACTGCTGAAAATCTCACTCATCAAACTAGTAGTACATGAGATGTGCCCTAAATAGCCTTGGCTGTACTAATTAATAAATAAATAGGATTCCAACACCAGAGCTCTGACTAGTTTTTGTTCCAACAGGGAAGGTTTGTGGTGACGAAGTAGACAAGTATTTGTTTACCATGTTTTACTGAACTTTAAAAGCCTGTCCTGTGCAGTGRACTGGCTCCTTTCTCTTAAATGGGAATTTTGGATCCAAGTAGGTGCAAGATTCAGGGTGTCCATGGTGGCACTGTGTGTTCCTTGGATATGGCACCCTGGCTTTCCTTACAGCATAACGACCTGTTGAGGGCCAGTTTCTCTGTGATGCAGTTGCTGGCCAGTGTTATTCTCTTGGGATTTGAAGTTTKTGACATATAAAACTTGAACCTCTTCTCCTTTGTTTCTTTTCATMTCTCTCCTGTCTGAGACCCACAGCCAAGGAAGAGGGCAGGCTCTCATTTCTGTGATTGTGTAAACAGCTGTCTGCCATCAGTGGCATACGAAAGGCCTCCCTTGCTCTATAATGAATTAAACTAAAAGTTAAACTGCTAAAAATCAAAAAACATATTTTGAACAAAGATTAGGGTGGCATTTCATCTGCTCTTATATCCTAAGAAGTTTTGGGTGGAGTGGTGCCAAAAAGAGGGTAATCCATTTGCCTAAGAAACTCTTAACCTTCCGCATTCATTCTTCAACAACCTTGACTGAAATCCACCCTCTGAAGTCCTGTGTGTCTTGTTCCCACTCCAAAGTGGGGCCTTGCTGAGAGCACTGCTGCCAGCTTGGTGTAGAGGAAGTAGATCTTCTCCATCTTTCCCAAAATCAGATCCTGTGTTCAGATCCCAGCCTTATTTCCCAAAACACGAGTCAGTTCATGAACTCAATAAACTTTCCTTGTTCAGATGAGATGTTCCTCTTCTGAGAATTATCGTCTAAAATCATGCTTCTTGACACGTATTAGCTGTGAGACATTTGTCAGAATGCTCAGCAGTGTATCACACTGAGTTACAAGTGGTATTTCACTGTGAACTAACCCTTCACTAACAGGCATCTAAAACATCTCATTTCTCGCATCACAAGATGAGGAATAGGAAACAGGAAGAAGCATGTGAATTAAGTGGTTTCCAGTAATGTACTGTCTGTAATGCTGTTACAAATTTAATGACAAACAATTGTCATTATGAAATTAGCTTTTAGCATAAAATTTATTGTATTCTGCATAAGCAGCAGTTATGGGTTGACTAACAGAGCAGAATCCAAACAGTCTTGGATGGATCTTTTTTAACATCTGTGCTTGTATAATTTTGCCTTACATATAGGGAAGTCCCCATGTTAAAATGAGAAACTGAATGCAAATRACAATTTACTATTGCACAGCTGCAAGCACCACACCCAAGTTCCCGGAAGGGCTATGGTTAGTACTGGATTTTTTAATGTAGCCAGAGCAAGCTTTTGTCTTTACAAGTTAACAAGGGCATTGGGCTGATCCTGTGCTAGGGTTTGATGCTGGTGGTCAATGGGGAGAGACCCTGTCAACTCWGTTGTGGTTTGGGGCTGCTGCCTGCCAGGGTCAGGGGACAGGGGTGCTGCCTCTGTGCCCGAGGCATCTCTGCTTCTGGCTGGACGTGGGGCTGGGTTTGCCCTAACACCCAGCTCATGGTAACGCACTGGCCTGCTGGGGACATTAACTGCACCCAGACACAGCTCCTGAAGGGGAGGGAGCTGAGTGTTCACAGCTGGCTGGAGCTAGGGTCCTCCAAGAATCCTGTGGAGAGTGGTTCTGTCGGGTGACTGCCCACCTCTGGTGTCCRTTGTAATTGAGGGTGCCTTTGGTGGGGACAAAAGTGTTCCTGGGTGCACCTTTGCTTACAAGYATTGTGTGATTGATCCCTGCAGCTCTCACATCCCTTCAGGTCTTTCTGCTCAGGGCTGAGGATCGAGAAGGAGGAGGAAATGGATGCAGCTGGTGTGCTGGCATTTCAGAAGGGCTTAGCAAGGAACCCTCCTGCTCTCCCAGCAGAATGCGGGGGTCTGTCTCCAGGCCACTCTGGGATTTCCCTGTGCCTGGGGTCCTCTCCCATTCAGCACTGTGCCCAGGTAAGGTGGTGAGCTGGGCTGGGACTGGCTTAGGTCCTTGGGGACTCCTCAGAAGAGCCTTTAGGGAAGTTGCAAGTGACTGMAAGGAAACGGAGATCCAAGAGGAGGGGCTCTTGCATACTGAGCCCATGGATGCCCCAGATTCCCCATCTGCTATTCCCAGCCACACAGAAGACAGTATTGCCATTCCTCGGGCTCGGAGTCAGCAGTGTTACATGTTTCAGCCCTTCCAGCTTTGATAGGGTTAAGGTGCCTCTGGCTGTCATTGCCAAGTCACCTGTCCTTGACCCTCTGCTGCAGCACSCTGTGCCATCACAGGGCAGCATCAACAATCAGAGGAGTCCTTTGGGTATCTGGGCAGCCTGCCTGACCCTCCCCCTTCACTGTCCTCTGATTCCAGAGGTGYCTCCGGGTTATCCCTGAGGCCTCCCAGCTCACCCCCTTCCCAGTCCTGGAGCCACTGGAGGGGCTGGGCTGGGAACTTGCGGTGGGAAACACCGACTCAGTRCAAAACACAGCGGGTAAATGATTATGGGCGCGATTGCCGCGGGAGTTCCGCTTCCCCCGGGCTTTAAAGGCAAAGCAGAGCTGTGCAAGGGCAGAGGGGAGGGGAGAGCACCCAGACGCCCAGACAGGAACAGGGTCCGGAGTAGAACATTGCGGGTTGGAGCAGCAATGGGGGACGCCTTCATCCGGCACATCGAACTGCTGGGCTACGAAAAAAGGTTTTTCCCCAGCCAGCATTATGTGAGTACTCAGCAATACACTCTGGCAAGTGAGGACTGAGGACTGGCCAGGATAAAAAGCCTGGCCAGGAAATTTCCTTAGATAAACGGTGATTAAGGGCATAAAAGCTTCCTTTTTAAGAGGTCATGACTGATGACTAAAACGTCCTGAATATACAAGACTTTGGGCACCTCCTTTGCAAGCTGTTGGTTACTTAGCGGGCTTGAAAAGGGCTTTTTCCTCTTTGTTTGCCACTCTCCTGTATGTTTCCATTCCCTCTCTGTCCATGCCAAGTTCCCTTAGTGTCCAATTTGTTTGCTCGCAAGGCAGAGCTACTTGCATGGGGGTGGTGGAAAGAAAATATACAATTTTATCTGAAACTGGCACATCCACGGGGATCCCTGGGAACGGCAGGGTGTGGGGATCCCACTTGCCTGCAGAATTGCAGCCTCTGCTTTGCCTCTCAGGTCTACATGTTCCTGGTGAAGTGGAATGACCTCTCTGAAAAGGTTGTCTACCGCCGCTTTACTGAGATATATGAGTTCCACGTGAGTCCTCTCAGGACACATGGGCTTRGGGTGGGGAAAAGAGGAGGGTGAATTCCATCTGAAATTGCCTCAAAGCAAACCTGGCTCAAAAGAGGCTCCTGGGTCCAGTCCTTCGATCTCCTTTACCTGTTGAAGATGGAGCCATTGGCTCTGTGTCCATGGGCAGGTGATCCAGTCAACACATGCTAGTGAGAGTGGGTRAGCTCCAGGAAGGGAGGCAAGCTGTGGCAGAGGAATGGGTGTCACAGAGTGTTCCCCTGATGTCGTCCTCACTGCTGTGCCTGACTCTGCTCTGCAGAAAGCGCTGAAGGAGATGTTCCCCATCGAATCCGGGGACATCAACATAGAGAACCGGATCATCCCGCACTTGCCAGGTGAGGGGAAAGCACCACGACTGGGGCTTGAATAGAAATTGCAGCTAGTTGGGAAATTCCCTGGTGGGTCAARCTGTGCTGGCTGCCTCCCAAGCAGGTGCATGGTGCAGTATTTCYTGTACACCAGGCTTGAAATCAAAATGCCAGAAAGATCTGAGGAGTGRCAGTGGTTCTTTGCAACACTCAGCAGCCCTGCAGATTCCATCTTTCCTCTCCAAAGGCTGGGCACCCCAGAGGCGTGTCTGGAAGCATCAACTGTGACCCCTGGCTGGTGCAGTGTCTGTCTYGGGGGAGGCTGAACTGAGTGGGGCTGAGTTGAGCCCTCCTCAGCTGAACCGTGCTGATGCCATCACTGGGGTTGGCTTAATGCCCCTATGGCCATACAGCTACTTTGTAAGAGGAAACAATGCAATATGTCTTCAATGACAGGGGATTAATTCCTGATCAAACAGCTGACATTTTGTCCCCAAGCAGGGTGCATTTCAGAAAACTTCCCCATTTTATTTAATTTCCTGTTTTAAAGGAGAGCAGAAGGGAGTCTGCAAAAAGCTGCCKGTTGTGGTCTGCATCTCTGGAGGAGGAGTAAACCTGCACTATGCACCAGTGTGGGTGCTGTTGCAACTGGACTAACACCACCCTGCACCCCAACGTGCCGCCCCCACTGTGAAGGGGCTGTTCAAAGCATCGTTATCCATTTGGGGAACTGAGAGCACTGGGGACCAGACTGGTGTCAGACTGCTGGRGSTATGGGGGTGCCRCCAACYGCACAAAAGCACCCCCATCATACASTTCAACACTGCTGGGGGTTGGGATTGCCAGCAGCATTTCAGAGCTCTGGGGTCAAGAACACCATGACCAGTGGGATGGGGGGATGAGTGTATCTCCTCTGACTGCAGGCTGGTCCCCTAAGCCCATCCTGGTGTCCCTGTGCATCTGCTCTACTTGTGSCCCAGCAGTTGGGCTTAGTCTGAATACACCTGTGGGAGTTACCCTAAAACTGAAATAGGGTCCAATGGGATTCTTTCTGGGCTTGCATGAGCTGTATTTCTCCAGAGCTTCACCTTACAGGCACAGTGTAGCCATGCAGCACCTTGGGGCCAGACTTACTTGTTTGCAGTGTAAAATCAATTATTCAGAGCAGCCTGCGTGGGAAAGTATTAAAAACAAGGCTCTCTGCTTTTTCTGAGTCCTTTTTCCTTTCTCCTAGCTCCAAAGTGGTTTGATGGGCAGCGCTCAACTGAGAACAGGCAGGGCACACTGGCCGAATACTGCTACACGCTGGTCAACCTACCTCACAAGATTTCCCGGTGCCAGCATGTGATTAACTTCTTCAAGGTCCGTCATGACGACATGAACCCTGTCACAGACAGCCAGTGAGTGAAGCTGCCTGCTATTTTGAGRAAATCCTGCATTCATGGCCTTGGGTGCTGGCAGTAGCCTGCAGGGAGGGTGTTGCTGCTGATGGATAGGGGTGGTTGGCCTTGAGCTGCCTTTGCTCTTCCCTGTCTAGGATCAAGAAGCCTGAGGTCTTCCTCCTGCCAAAGGATTCCAAGAAAAACCTCACTGGTAAGAGGTCTCAGAGGCTTGCAAGTGGCTTCCTCAGCAGCAGTAAAGCCTGCTGGGGAGAGGGTCTGCCATCCCGTGGCAGATACCCTCACCAAGTGCACGGTCTGTGTGCCAGAGCTGCAGGTGGGAGGAAGCCAAATGCTCAGGGGGAATGAGTGAATGAAACACTATCCCAAAATCCAGCTGGTTTGGGACCATAAGAGGCTGGGAGGGCACTTTGGGCTGTCCTGGGGCTGCTTTTGGCCTGCCTGAAATAGGGTGTTTCTGGGTTGGGGGCTGGAKGAGGGAACATCTCTCCCTTCTCCCATGCAGACATCACGGGCCCCATTGTCCTGCAAACATACCGAGCCATYGCTGACTATGAGAAGAGCTCCACATCTGAGATGCCTCTCAAAGCTGGGGACATGGTGGATGTCGTGGAGAAGAGCGAGAATGGTAGGTACCCATCCCTCCGGAGAGCCCCTGAGGGCCAGCCACCTCCCTACAACAATTTCAGCAGGAATGAGGACTGCCCATACTTTGTGTGTCCAAACACAGCAAGTGATCTAGTTACAGCAGTGAAAGCTGAAGGGTGAGGGGCAATTCTAGAAAACTGCGCAACATCCTGGCCATGCCTCAGCCTGTGAGGTTTCCTGCCTAGCAGGAACAGGATGAATTGATCAAGCTCTTTGGTTGCACCATGCCAATAGAGATTTGCCCCAGAACGGTCCCTTAGGTCCAGGATGCCTGCACCTGCTCAGGCCAGGACAGACCTGGTACCAGTCCCCACAACACTCTGMTCTTGCCCATGGCTGCTTTCCTTGCAGGCTGGTGGTTTTGTCAGTTGAAGAATAAACGAGGCTGGGTACCTGCTGCCTATCTGGAGCCGATGGATGGTCCTGATGAGTCTGAAGAGCAGGAGCCTAACTATGCAGGTAAAATGTTGGGGTGACCAGGGTGTGCGTCAGACTACAGCTCACTGCAGCTCCCACTAGAGATGGGGMGATGGCCCTGAGATGGGTCACTGCAAAGCTGAGCAATTCAGACTGAGCAGGATCACTGGRCAGGGAGATGCTGCTGTAGGAACTGCCAGGAGGGATAAATCTCATGGCTTGGTGCCTCAGTGTCAGCCTTGGGAACTTCCCATGACCTGCAACTCAGCATTAGATTTGTGTTTTGGCTGATCACAGAYGTGCATCTTCACCCAGTGACCACCTGAAAGAAGGCTGAGGTGCTGGGTTTGCAGAACAGCACCCAAATCAGGTGCAGGCGCTTTGGAGCACTTGGCCTCTGTGCAGAGGGACTATCCTGCAGACTTGGGCCAATTGCTCAAGAGGCATCAACTTTGTTGGGTTTCACAACACTGGAACAGGCTCTATTAGTACATTTCCTTCTGCCTTATTTCACCACCCAAATTCTGAACACACTTTCCAGCAGAGATAGGTGTGCTCCCTCTGCTGCTTGCTCCCAAAAGCTTTCTTCTGGAGAGATGAAGAAAGGGCTGGGATGAGTTATGGGCAATGACAAGGCTGAGGGAAGTCTGAATCCAAACCTGAAGCACCCTGAGTCTTGCCTAAAATGTAGGGTGCCTCCTAATGCTCTCATGTCCCCTCAGTGGCCGGGGAGGCTGAGCCCCAATCCCTGGAGTGTCAGCACATGATCTGTTATCCCTGTTTTGTGCGTAGGTGAGGCGTACGTGGTCCTGAAAAGCTACACTGCTGTGGAAGAGGATGAGSTGACCCTCAAGGAGGGTGATACCATTGAAGTCATCCACAAGCTCCTTGATGGCTGGTGGGTCATCAGGTGAGAGACGCCAAGAACAGGTCAGGAGAGCAGCATTAGGTAGAGSGAAGGGAGCACCCATGGTTCTCCACGTCAGGGCCCTGAAAGCCATGGCCTTTTTGGTGCCACTGTCCAACACTTCCTTTAGCAGGGCTGCTTCTCAGARTYTGTTCTTTGCCAAATATTAAACTTRCAGCTGGAGATGCCTCYGCTGAGGGCTTCAGAAATATCCAAGGAGGCAGATGAAAAAAAAAAAATTGTTGTTTTGCCTCTAATTGTTCTGGTATATTTTGCTTTGCAAAATCTCAGCTTTCATCCCAGCTGCAAGGATCAGGGAGGTGATCCACATGGAACCCACATGGCAGTGGCAGACAGGCATGAACTATGAATCATGCAATGTCCTGACTTGGAAGAGTTGAAGGCCTACCTGTTCTAGAAGAAGGTATTCCTKCCTRTGGCAGGGTRTTGGAATGAGGTCCTTTAAGGTCCCTTCYAAYCAATCTATTCTGGAATTCTGTGACCATCCACAAGAAGGATCAAATCTCTCTCCATGGTTGAGAAGGTGGTTGCAGAGACACAATTGCAAGTGATGTTGCTTTGTGTTGCACTGCAGGAAGGATGAAACCACAGGTTATTATCCCGCCATGTACCTGCAGAAAGCCGGGGAGGTCAACACCTCCGTGAAGAGTGAGCTGAGGAACCGGAGTGCTCCTCCACGGAGGTAGGAAAAGTTCTGTGTAGAAGGCAGAAGGACTAAAGCTCTTCCTTGAGGGAGATATAATTAAACCAGACAGGGTTTGTAGTGTCACCTGCTTGCCTTGTCAGTGAGGAAAGGCCTGGAGWAATGTAAGCAGGGCAAAGACAGATCAGGCCTATCCTCCCACCAGCTCTGTGCTCCCCAGCTCCCACAGGCACCCCAGCATTGCTGATGCAGGGCTGCATGATCCTTGCAGGTCCTCCAGTCAGGTATATTTCTCCTTGTCCTTCTGCAAAGTTTCTTTTCTGGGCTAATCTTGTTTAATTTTCAAATTGTCCATTTTCTTATTTCCTAAGTATGTACACTGAATCTTTTAGAGGCAATGAGAGATTTGACTAAATGGAGCTGACAAATGGTCTAATCTAATGGGAGGATTTGAGCTAATGCAAGGGATTTTATTTTRATTAAAAAGATGAAAAGCAATAATAACTCATGAATTCCAATGCAAAGAGAATTGTTAAAAAGGGCAGARCATGCTGCTGTCCATTTTTTCCTGCAAGAAGACATGTCAGGCCTGCTATRAAATCTCACCAAATCCAGTTCTGCTGGAGCATGGATTGAGTGTGAGACTGTAAAATGGTCCAGATCCACTTATTTGAACACAGTGACAGTTGCTGATCATGCCCATCTTATCCTTCCAGCCTCACACTCAAGGTTCTTCATCATTCCTATCATTACTTTTCAGACTTGTGCTCAGAGTTTGCCCTTGAGTGTTTGCTTCCAAAGCACCATCCGGCTGCCTCTGAACATGTCGTACATCATGTCTCACTGAGGGCTGCCCCCGAGGGCTGGCATCCACCAGGAAAAACCCAAAAGCAGAAATTGGGGTTTGGGTGAAGCAGAGGAGGAAGTGTGGTGTGAGAGCTGCCAGCATAAAAACTGAAAGTTTTGTTTCTCACTCCTTGCAGATCCACCATCCGAAATGTGAAGAGTATCCACAAGCAGGGCCGGAAGCAGATCAGCCAGGAAACCTATAGGAGGAACAGCAAGAAGTACATCCAGAACCAGCGCAACATGAGGGGAAAATCCCAGAACAAGGCCAATGTCATCAGTAAGTCTCAATGGAACTGGAGTCCTGCAGGCATGGCCTGTGCCCCCCACCAGTGCTGGCAGCTGGAGCAGGATGGCACACTGAGGTCACACTATGCCCATCTGCCTTTTTCCTATGGGGAAAGTACGTGCAGGGAAATGTTTCTTTTAAGGAGGTTTCTCACTCCTGGCTATAGGTCAGACAGAGCAGAATATGGTCCTGGAAGGAGTTCAGCCCACATTTGAGACCTGCACTTTCCTTTGTGCACCTAAGCTCCTCCATGCTGCCATTACCTGCAATCACCATGTATGTTAGCTGTCAGTAGAGCCCCCAGAGGRAAGCGTTGCTTGAAGAATCATATAATTATAGAATTTGGTTTTGGTAGGAAGGCACATAAAGACCAGTGTGTTCCAAGCTTCCACTTGATCAGGTTGCTCCAAGCCTCWTCCAACCTAGCTTTGAACACTTCCAGGCATGGACACTTCCACAATTTCTTTGGGCAACCTGTGTCTCACTACCTTCACAGGAAAGAATCTTTTCCTAATAATTTAACCCTGGCCTCTGTTAGTGTGAAGCCATTCCCTCTTGTCCTGCCAGTTCAGACCCTTGTAAAAAGGGCCTTCTCTCTTCATGAAGARGGAGAGAGGTAGACATTGAGGTATACTCTTTAAATCTGGTAGTCTCCATGCAGTATCCATGTGCAGACTTGAAAGATGGGTTTCCCCTGAGCAGAGTTCCCAGCTGGGCRCTGGTGGGCTCATCCTGACACCATAACCTACAGGAAGACGATTACGTGCAGGGACAGAAAGAGAGGCAGGAGCTTTAATGGCCRTTACGTGGAAGTGGCTGAATGTTCATGAGGGTGGTGTGTGGTGGAGAGCTCTGATCCATCTGTACATCTTCTTAACTTGCAGTTGAGAAAAATGAGCCAGAGGACAACAAGCCCAAGGCTCAACCTGCTATTCCTCCCCGTCCCAGCAAAGACCTCATCCTGAATCGTTGTACCGAGAGCACTCGGAGGAAGATCCTGTGAGGATCCTGTGAGCCCCCATGCCAGCCACACAATGCTTCATCTCCTTCAGCTCCTGTGCAGCCCAGACTTGGAGCCAGACCAGGGATTCAGATGGTTCTAGCAGTGACCACAGGSCAGGGAGGCTGCTGGCCAAATCAGSCCAGCCCAGCGCCCATCCTCATCCTCCATCATGGCCTGCCCAAGGTGTCCTGATGGCACTGAGAAGGGACCAGCCCTGCTCCACCAGCTCCTTACAGCCACCAGGAGTCCTCATCTCTAGATGCCCTTCTATCACTTCTTGTATTTTGAATTATTTTTGTGGTTTTCATCAGGAAAGGAGAGACACTTTAGCCTGGCCTCCTCCCTGAGGAGCAGTGTGGGCATGGTGGCATAAAAGGTGTTCCTCCCAGGGGGATGTTGGACAAGGGTCTCTTACAAAAGATRCTGGCAGTGAGGAAATTTAGTTTGGGGGATGAAAGGACTGCAGTTTTATCCTAGAAGGTGGCTGCTTGTCACCCTTGAGAGGAAAGTGAGGGCTGGGGTGTTGGGACAGGGCTGCTTCACGCAGTGGGTGTGGTGGTGTTATAAACAMRTATTATAGGGTTGGCTTTTGCAGATATTAAGATGGGTGCTATGTGTATAATGTTGCCATTTTTGCATAAGTAGCTTAGTTATGCAGACATAGTGGTGAAATAATCACTGGAGGTTTAGTTTTTGTTTTTCTTTTGTAACTCAAGATATAGTTGTAATATAGGTGATGTTGTTTTAGAGTACTTATGGTTAACTTGCAATAACTGAAGTGTTATGGCTTGTGACTTAAACATTTCCATGAAGGATTTTTTTACATATTAAAGCAAAACTATACAAAAGCTGCAGAGAAAGCCACTAAGACTTTGAATGGCTCCCTGGCTGCAGCTGCACTGATCAAAAAGAGATAAGGTAAGGAGAGAAGAATATATGAGAAAAGGATCACAGCTTAGCACCTCCGGGGGTACAGGCCATAGCCCCAAGGCTATGGGCTGCCAAATCAGCACAAATCCTGACACCCAAGGCTAGGGGGGGAAAGGAAGAGAGGCTTTAGAATATGTAGTGGAGAAGCCATTTGGTCAAAAGAGCTCGTGGAACCTCTGTCCTYTGTTGCACAAAGGAACCTAGATGAYGGGACCCCYRATCTTCAGACAAGCRTATCTMCATGGACAGGCCAGAGATGTCGTGACCCATCAGGGGCCCCTRCTAYGGACACTTCYCTATCAACAATGACCATYTGCTGAAGCGGAATAAGGGGTGACACACGYGACCCCAGGGGCATAAACYTCATCAYTACAGATGCCCTAAAACTGCAGATCCATGCTAAACAGTTCCTGGAAAAGTTTGAATATGCRTAAATGCCTATKAATAGGCACTAAGCTGATGMAATATGRRATKTATTTAARGATGTCTCTTGTCAATAGCAGGTGTGCCTCTGGCAGACCRCCAARCATCCAGTGTCCCCTGGGTGCYRTAWCTTTTGCTTTCTGTCCCCTATTGTCWTTTWTTAAACTTTTAAATTTTAACAGGAGAGTGAACTTCATTTTTCACAGTGGGATGGCTGAATTTGGTGCCAACACAGCCAGCCCTGTCATCACTATGCCAGATGGGGCTGGGTTTGGGTATGATCTCGGTTTGGGTTTGGGATAGATCTGGGTCTGCAAGTAGGTTTGGGCCTGAGTTTGAGTTCTGATCTTGGTTTGGATCTGGGTCTGGGCGTGTGTTAAGATTTAGATCTAGGTCTGGGTGTAGGTTTAGATTTGAGCTTGGGTCTGGCTGTAGGTTTAGATTTGAGTATGGGCCTGTTAGGAAAATTAATCCACAAACACCAGAGGTTTATGTCCAAAAAGGAGACAGAGGAGTCCTGTGACTTTATACATGAATAAAGGGAGAGGCCATGGCACATTTCCATGGGGTCTCTCAAATTGTTAAGAGGACGAGGCCTCCTTTTTATTCTAATTTCCTGGCCGCATTTCCCTCTCTCTTTCCCTATTACCTGTGTCTCTGTTCTTTTTCACTCAGTCCAGGGATTTAGCACTGTCTTGGATGAGTAACAGTCTGTGTCAGTTGGCAAAATTCCTCTGGAATTTATGGTTCCTCCCATTGCTCCTTTCACCTATCAGAATCTGGCCTTATCTACCAGCAGACCCCATAATTTGTTTATATAAAGMCATTGATGATTCCTTTCAGCTGAGGCCTGGCCGCGGGTCTGGGTGAATGTGGAGCCCCTCAGGCGCGGGGGCGCGGCCCCTTTAAGAGCAGCCGCTGCGGGCGGGGCGCATGCGCACAGGGGCGGTGACGCTGCGCGGGCCCGCGCGTGCCRGGGAGCCAAGATGGCGGCGGCCTGAGGGGAGCCATGGCGGGGCTGGTGCGGCGGCTGCTCCGCAGGGGCCTGGCCGTGGTGGCCGAGCCGCCGAGCACCCGCCAGCTGCGGGAGGCCGAGGAGGCCGCCCCGGTGTTCCAGTATGCGGGGAAGGCGGCCGGGCGCAAGGACCGCGTGTTCGTGTGGGGTTTCAGCTACTCGGGTGCTCTGGGCGTCCCCAGCTTTGTGAGGCCGGACGCGGGCTGGAAGAAACCGCGGCGCATCCAACCCACGCCGTACCGCCTGGAGACGGAGGAGAAGGTGGGTCATGTCCGGCGGGGCCAGCGTGTCTCCCCCGGCCTCCGGAGCCTGGTCAGGGCATAGCATAGCCGAGAACGGCATTACGGGGTGGAGTTTAAAGGTTTTGCCGTGCTTTAGTGCTTTTTATCGATATAGTRGTGTTGCTTGGGATGATTTCTTTTTTAATTGCAGCGGCATCTAGTTTAGAAAATATGTATCTGTAATTTTGTCAGAGGCATTGGAGAGCCAGGGTGTGAAGAACATTTGCCAGATAAAATGGGCCTCTTCAGTGGCTCYGTGGCTGTTCCCACCTGACAGATGGGAAACTTGTGTTGAAAATCATGTTATTTTACCTGCATATTTCACCTGTGCTCTGCTGTCCAGTGCAGAGAAGATCAGAGCGTTCACAGAATATCCTGAGCTGGAAGGGAGCCACAGGTATCATTCAATCCAGCTCCTGGTCCTGCGCAGGACACCCCAGCAATTCCACTCTGCTCTTGAGAGAGTTGTCCAGACCCAAATCGGGGCTGTGCCGAATCCCCAGGGAGCCTGTTCGGTGTCCCACCACCTTCTGGGAAAGAACCTTTCCCTGATCTCTGGTCTGAACCTCCCCTGGCACAGCTCCAGCGGTTCCCTCGGGTCTTGTCCCTGGTCCCAGAGCAAAGATCAGAGCTGTCCCTCTGCTGCTGCTGCCCCTGGGGAGGAGCTGCAGGT